GGGGGCCCCCAGATGAGCTCCCCCGGGGCCCCATGCGGCGCAGCTGGTGCAGGGGCCCCCCCAGGGGCCCCTGCAGGGGCATGCAGCGGGTCCCCTGCTGCTTCCAGCACTAGCAGTGGACCTCGGGGGGCCCTCACTGGGGGCCCTGCCGCTTGGGGGCCCCCCAATGAACCCCCTAATGGGGCCCCAAGCGGGGCCCCCAATGGGGCCCCAAGTGGGGCCCCTAATGGGGCTTCTAGTGGGTCTCCTGAAGCCGCTCCTGGAGGGGCCCCCGAGGGGCCCCGCGGGGGGCCCCCCCGGGGCCCCCCAGGGGGGCCCCCAAGGGGGCCCCCAGGGGAGAGGGGCCCCCGGAAGTGCCTGCGTTGCGGGAGTCCGCGGGTGTGCATGGCCCGGGTGGGAGGGGGGGGGCCCCGCTGCAAAGAATGTTTTTGCAAAGAGTTTGAAGAAGAAGTTTGGAGGTTTATAGTTGAAGAGAATTTGCTGCCAGAGGGGAGTCGGGTGTGCGTGTGCGTGTCTGGGGGCAAGGACAGCGCGGTGCTGCTGCACGTGCTGCAGCAGCTGCAGCAGCAGCAGCAGCAGCAGTGGCAGCTGCTGCTGCTGGCCGTCGACGAAGGCATTCAGGGCTACAGAGATAAAGCCCTTCTCACTGTAAAGGCCTTTGCCAGCCGCTACAAACTTCCCCTCAAAGTCCTTTCTTACAAAGACCTCTACAAGGGCTGGACCATGGACTCCATCCACGCCGCCCTCAACACCCAGCAGCAGCAGCAGCAGCAGCAGCAGCAGCAAGAGCAGCAGCAGCAGAAAGAGCAGCAGCAGCAGCAGCAGCAGCAAGAGCAGCAGCAGCAGAAAGAGCAGCAGCAGCAGCGGCAGGGCAGCTGCCGCAGCGCCTGCTCCTGCACCACCACCAGCCCTACCAGCACCCCCAGCACCGCCGCCAGCACCAGCAGCAGCAGCAGCAGCAGCAGCAGCAGCAGCGGGAGGGGGCCCCTGACGAGTCACTGCACGTTTTGTGGGGTCTTCAGGCGGCAGGCCTTCGAGCGGGGGGCCCTTTCTTTTGCTGCTGGCAGCATCGCCACGGGCCACAACTTAGACGACGCAGCAGAAACTGTTTTGCTGAATCTCCTCAGGGGGGACCACCACCGCCTCCCGGCCTCCGTTAACCCAGGCAGCAGCAGCAGCAGCAGCAGCAGCAGCAGCAGCGGCGGCGGCGGCAGCAGCAGCGGTGGCAGCGGCTGCGGCGGTGGCAGCAGCGGTAGCAGCAGCAGCAGCAGCAGCAGCGTCAGCAGCAGCAGCGACAGCAGCAGAAGCGACAGCAGCAGCAGCGGCGGCAGCAGCAGCAGCAGCAGCAGCAGCGGGAGCAGCATTCGTCGGGTGAAGCCGCTGCTGCGCTGCTTCCAAAAGGAAATTGTGCTGTATGCACACTTCCGGCGGCTGGAGCACTTCGCGACGGAGTGTACGTACAGCGCAGGAGCCACGCGGGGAAAGCCCAGGGAACTTCTTGCTGCGCTGCAGTCAGTGCAGCAGCAGCAAAGAGTCCAAGACATTGTCCGAGCTGCCTCAGCCTGGCTCACGCTGCCCCCCAGCAGCAGCAGCAGCAGCAGCAGCGGCGGCAGCGGCGGCGGCAGGGGCGGCGGCGCGGCTGGCAACGCGCTGCAGCAGCAGCAACAGCAGCAGCAGCAGCAGCAAAGTGGGGGCCTCGTTGCTTGTGAAGGGTGTGGGGCCCTGACCACCAACCGCCTCTGCCGCGCCTGCACCTTCGTGGGTTTGCTGCAGCGCAAAGCGGCCCACGCCGTCAACTTCAGCGAAAGGAAGCTAAGGGAGCTGCAGCAGCAGCAGCAGCAGCAGCAGCAGCGGGAAGTTACTGGCGACGCGTAGCACCTTATTGCCTGTAGAGAAGTCTCAGCTTTAATCCGACACTCTGCATTTCAGGTGTACATACACCTGCAGGGCCACAGCCACAGCTAGCCAGAGGCCCCCCTCGACAACAATGGGGGCCCCCTCGGGGGCCCCTGGGGCCCTCGGGGGCCCCCAGGGGCCCCCAGGGGGACCCCAGCTGAGCTGCTGCTGGGCCAATTAAGCTGCAGCTAATTAGAAGCAACAAAGAGACTGGGGGGGCCACATGGCGTAGTGGCCCATACCGGCAGCGCTGGAGCCAAGACAACCGCTTGGCAGCGGAGTCTGGGGTTTTTTCCGCAGCTCTCGAGCTCAGTGGACTTCAAATACATTTAATTTTAATTTTAAAATAGTTTAGAAGCATCCAGAGAGAGTTTGTAGGCGCGAAGAGCCCCAGGCGCTGCCCAGCAGCTCACCGCAGCCAGTGCGCGCCGCTTGACGGCGCCCCAGGCGCTTTCTTGTCTGCAGCCTAGATCCTCTCTGAATTATTTATTTGATTAAAAGGCATTTTATATTAATTAAACCCGCCAGGCCCCCCCCAAAAGACTTATTATTTGCCCCTGGGGGCTGCCATTACAGGGGGGGCCCCCCGCGCTGCAGGCAGCCTTCAGGGGCCCCTCTACAAGCAGCCGGAAAGGGCCCCTTTGTCTGCTGCAGCAGCAGCAGCTGTCGGCGGCGCAGCAGCAGCAGCGCCCCTGCTGCTGCAGAGGGAACTGCTGCCCGTGCTGCTGCTGCAGTTCATGCTTCTCCGATCCGCCGGTGGCGTAGTCTCTGCGTCATTTGGCAGCAGCAGCAGGGCCCCAGCTGCTGCTGCTGCGCCCCGGTGTACATACACCCCAGACCTGCTGCATGCAGCAACACTGCACAGCCCCAATGATGCCCCCCTTAGCCTCTCTAGGCCCCGATTGGCTGCAGCAGCCAAGCCAGCCGGCCTCGAGGGGCCCCCGCCCGCAGCTCCCCGCAGCAGGGGGGCCCCGGGGGGCCCCCAAGGGGGTCCCTGGGGTCCCCCCGGCTCCCCTGGCAGCTGAACCCTCTAGGGGGCCCCCCGAGGGCCCCCAGGGGGGCCCCCTGGACCCAAACCTCTTCAGCCCCAAGTGGCTGCCAAGTTGGGTCCGCAGGCAGCTGCTGCAGCGGGCGAGTGCCCGCGACTGGCCGCCGTGCTGCCCTGTGTGCACTGCGCGCTGCAAGCAGCAGCAGCAAATGCAGCAGCGGCAGCAGCAGCAGCAGCAGCTGTACAGGAGGTATACAGCTGCTGTCTGCAGCAGGAGTAGACTGGAAGCTTCGCCTGCTGCTGCGACTTCTGCAAGGCGGGGCAGTCGGCTGCGTTCCCCCGATGCCGCGAGCTTGCCTGCTGCAGTAGCAGCAGCAGCTGCTGCTGCTCCTGCTGCTGCTGCTGCTGCTGACGCCCGCAGGGACGCCCTGCTTGGGCGATCCCGACTGGGCGTCGGAGGCAGCGAAGAGGTGAGGGCTGTTTAGAGGCGCTTGCTGCTGCTGCTGCTAGCGCTGCATGAAAGTGCTGCCTTTGCACCCACCTGCTGCTGCTGCTGCTGCTGCTGCTGTGCAGCTCCTGCAGGATCGCCAGAGTCATGTGCCTCTTTCCACGGGCCTCACGCCAGGCCTTGAAAGACTGCACGTACGGCGCATGTCCCCTAAGAAACTTCGGCAGCAACAGCAGCAGCAGCAGCAGCAGCAGCATTCAGCTCTTCCTGCTGCTGCAGCAGGCGCAGTTGCCCCCCTCTTCATGGCTTCTGCTGCAGCGCTGCGTCACTCAGAGCCCAGCGGCAGCCGGCTGCGTTCCCCCGCGTTCGGCCGCTGCAGCTGCTCTCCGCGCCCCCAGAAGCAGCAGCAGCAGCAGCAGCAGCAGCAGCAGCGCATCGGGGCCCTGGATTCCTACGTGTGGATGCTGGCCTTCGACCCCAGAGACCTTCCCCGTCTTCGGGCTGTCAATTCTGAGGGCCGCAGATTCGCGCAAGAGGCCCTCAGCCGCATGCAGCAGGCGCTGCAGCTGCTGCAGCTGCTGCAGGACCCTGCAGCAGCAGAGCGGCCCCTGGGGGGCCCCCCTGTACAGCAGAAGGCCCGCAGCGCCCAAGGGGGGCCCCCAAGGCCTGAGGCTCTCAGGCCGTGGCTGCTCGATGCGGCTCTGTTTGGCTGGCAGCAGTCGTTCAACAGCGAAGTGCAGCAGCAGCAGCAGCAGCAGCAGCAGCAGAAAAGGCCGAACCTGCTCGAAACAGGCTGTTGCGAGTGGGCTGCTTGGCGGGAGCGAGAGAGTAGCAGAGATGGAGCAGCAGCAGCATCGGCGGCTGCAGCAGCGGGCGACCCGCAAGCAGCAGCAGCAGCAGCAACAGCGACTGCACCATGGGCTGCTGCTGCTGCAGGGTACGAGAGAATTTCTCCTGCTGCTGCTGCGCTGCTGGCGACGCAGCGGCGGCCTGTTGTGCTGGCGGGGCGCATAGGTACTGCAGAGGTGAAGGGGCAGTGGGTGGAGTACTGCGAAGCCACAGTGCTGCTGCTTCCTTGCAGCAGCAGCAGCAGCAGCAAGTGCAGCAAGTGCAGCAAGTGCTGCGACGCGCTGGCAGGCATTCCATTCATGCCGGATCTCCAGCATCGCATTCAGGTGTATTTTCGGCGGCACTGCCAGCATCTAGGTAGCCAGCTGCTGCAGCACGGGCAGCAGCAGCAGCACAAAATGCTGCTGCTGCTGCCGCCAAAAGGAGTAGAGGAGCTCCTGAGCGGAGAGAAAAGCGCCCAGTCAGACGCCGCTGCTGCAGCTGCCTTTGTAGACGCGTGCGAGAAACAGCGACAGCGCGAGAGGCTGCAGCAGCAGCAGCAGCAGCAGCAAAAGCAGCAGCAGCAACAACAGCAGCAGCAACAGCAGCAGCAGCAACAGCAGCAGGAGCAACAGCAGCGCAGCCTGCTAGAGGTACTGTCCGACTGCAGCCGTTGTGTGGTGTACGAGATGATGGCCTCGCGTCCTGTGCAGCAGGGTTCTGCGCCCGCCTCAGCAGCAGCAGCAGCAGCTGCTGCTGCTGCTGCTGCTGCACGGACAGGCTTCCGCGTCTCGCATGGAAGCCGCACCTCCGTCACCATCAGACAGTCAATCCTGCCTGCTGCTGACAGTGAGGCGCAGCAGCAGCAGCAGCTGCTGCAGCAGCAGCAAGACGATCTCAGCGGCGCGGGGCTGCAGCAGGAGACAGTTCTCTCGCTGTGGAGGACCCCATCAGAGGCTCTGCTGCGGGAACAGAGGCAGCACCAGCAGCAGCTGCGCCTCAGCAGCAGCAGCACCGGGAATATCGGCAGCAGCAGCAACGGCAGCAGCAGCAGGGGCCACTGCGCCTTCCGGCGGCCCTCAACTATTTACCCGCCTCTCTTCAGACGCAGCAGCAGCACCCTTGGCCGTCAGGGCAGCAGCAGCAGCAGCTTGGCCGTGCTAGCAACTCCCAGCTTGCTGTTAGCGCCTGAGCAGCAGCAACAGCAGCAGCAGCAGCAGCAGCAGCAAAGACGGCGCCGCACTGCCATTGACTTCGGGCTGGCTGACCTGCGCGAAGCCACTGTGCAGCTGCGTGGATATCCCGCAGGAGAATCTTTCTCCGCAGCTTTCCAGCAGCAGCAGCAACAGCAACAACAGCAGCAGCAACAGCGGCAGCAGCAGCAGCAGCATCTGGCTGCATCTGCAAGGGAGCCTGCTGCTGCAGGGCCTGCTTTTGGCGTTGGTTCACCGGAGGCACTTCAAGCAGCTCCAGCAGCGACTGCAGCAAATTTGTTGCAGCAGCAGGAGCAGCATGTATCGCTGCCTCAAGAAGCAGCCGGCCCGCCTGCTGCAGCTGCAGCACCAGCCTCCGCTGCAGCTGCCTCTGCCGAAGCTCCCGCTGCTGGCGCAGCAGCTGCAGCACAGGATGCAAAAGCGCCTGTCGCTGGGGCGCCCACAGAAACAGCAGTAGCAGCAACAGTAGCAGGCGCAACGGCCGGGCCGGCCGCTGCAGCAGCAGCAGCAGCAGCAGCAGTGGCAGCAAGGCCAGCAGCAGCAGCAACAGCAGCAGTAGCACTGGGGCAGCTAGAAGAACCCAGCGACTCTGGGGAAGAACAAGGCATCCGAACTCCCCGTGTAGAGGAGAGTGGCTTGTCGCCGCTGCTGGGCCGTCTGAGTATTCAGAACTTTAACTGCTGCAGCAGCAGCAGCAGCAACAGCAGCAGCCCCGCAAGGTCACCCAGCCCCTCGCAGCAAGACAAACGAATGCGCCAGCTCAGAAACTTCGAGCGCCAGCAGCAGCGGGCACTCGAGGAAGAGTGCAGGCAAAGGGTCAGCCCTTTTGCTGCGCTGCAGCAGCAGCAGCAGCAGCAGCAAAGAAAGCAGCAGCAAGCATCACCTGCAGCCACTTCAGCTGCCCCCAAAATACCAACCCCTTTCCCCAACATGCGGGCTATACCGCAGCGCAGCGTGCAGCATATGCCCAGTGCTGCAGATGCATCACAGCAGCAGCAGCAGCAGCAGCAGGCTACGGAGTCGCCGTTTGCTTTTCTGTCATCTTGTGCTGCTCTAGCAAGAAGGCGAAGGCCCTCATCTGCTTTTGCGAGGGCCTCTCCGCTGGCCAGTGCTGGCGCTGGGTTTGCTGCTGTTGGTTCTGCTGCTACTGCTGCAGATGGCAGTACAAGCAGCAGCAGCAGCAGCAGCACCAGCACCAGCAAGATTTTCCGCCCGAGATCTTCGGAGCTGACCCCTATTTTGGGTCGCATGAGTCTCGCTGAGCCCTCAGACACAGAGAGCGATGATAGCGGCGAGCAGCAGCAGCAGCAGCAGCAGCAGCCGCAGCCGCAGCAGCTACAACAGCAGCAGCAGCAGCAGCAGCAGCAGCAGCAGGCTAACCTTTTGGCTGCGTCTGCAGCCAACAAGCTGGCCTACACAGCAGCTAGCAGCAGCCCCCAGCCAAAGGCCAAGGCGCAGCGCCGCAGGGGTCAACCCCCCTCTGTTTCTCGACTCCCCAAGGCAGCAGCGGCCAGCAGCAGCAGCAGCAGCAGCAGCAGCAGCAGCAGCAGCAGCCAGCTCAGCAGCAACGGCGGTGCCAGCAGCAGCTCCGTTCTCAGGGGCCCCATCAGGGCCATCGGCAAAGGCCGTGCTGCAGCAGCGAGGCGAGAGGCCCCATATCGTCGCCCGTGGGCCCCCACGCGAAGGCAACAGTCTCCAACCCCCCCAACTGCTGCTGCTGCTGCTGATGCTGATGCTGGACAAGGTACTGCGGCTGCGCCGCGTAAGGCTGCAGCAGGCGCCGGCAGGCAGAGGCCAGCTGGAGCAGGCAGAAGTGCAGCAGCAGCAGGAGCTGCAGCAACGCAGGAGTCCGCAGCGCTAGGTAAAGCTGCAGCATCGTCGAAAAACAGCAGCAGCAGCAGCAGCAGCATCAGGTCCGCGGGTCGAGGCAGCAGCGCGAGAGGGGCCTCTTGTGCTTCTTCTCAGAGACAGCGGCAGCAGCTGCCGCTGCAGCACCCCCGAAGAGCAGGCTCTAGCAGCAATCTTCTAAAAGCTGGCAGCATCAGCAGCAGCTGCAGCAGCCTCCCAGCCAGCAGCCAGGGCTCTGCTGCTGGCAGCCGCAGCAGCCTCAGGGCCATTGGCATGCTGGAGCGTAAACGGAAGCAGAGCAGCAGCCGCAGCGCCAGCAGCAGCAGCAGCAGCAGCAGTGCTGGCCCCGCCTCAAAGGCCCGCCTCTGTCGCCTGCAGTCTTCCGGCTCTTCTATCCAGAGCAGCAGCAGCAGCTCGGACCTGCTGCGCCCCAATAGCAAGAGCAGCAGCAACAGCCGCAGCAGCAGCAGCATCGGCAAAGCAGCAGCAGCTCACCAGCTGAGTCAGACCCCACAGCCCAGGAGGCCCCCAGGCGCCTCTGTGGCTTCTGCGCGCCACAAGCCTGCTGCTGCCACGAACACCAGAAACTTACTTGCCAGCAGCAGAAGCAGCAGCAGCAGCAGCAGCGCCGTTACCAGCAACAACAGCAGAAACAGAAGCTCCAGTGCCGCGGCCAGGAGCAGAGCTGGCGTTGCTGCTGCTGGAAAGACACAAGGCGCCACTGCTGCCCGTCGAATGCATTCTTTGCCCAGCAGCAGCAGCAGCAGCAGCAGCAGCAATGGCGGTAGAAGCGTAGCAGCCAAGGCATCTTCGATACCAAACAAGGTAGACCGAAGCCAGAAACCGACGGCAGCAGCAGCAGCAGCAGGTCAGAACGCCAGTAGCAACTTAGAGGGGTCCCAGCCCACTCCCCGCAACACTGCCCCACGGGGGGCCCCCTAGCCCCTTGGGGCCCACAGGGGCCCCCCAGGCCCTGCAGCACCCCTTAG